CCCCCCCCCCCCCCCGCCCCGGAACGCACCGTTGCGATAGATCGAGGGATGCGAGGCACCGGTGCCGAGTGTGGCCAGGGTGAAGTGCCCGGCCGGGCTCGGGGCCGCCGGCCCCGGGGCCCCGGGCCATTCGAGCCCCGGTGCCAGACGGAAGGGCCCCTGGGCCTGGGGGTCGCCGGGAGCCGTGTCGGCCATCCGGGCAGCCGCGGCATCTGGATGCGGCACGTGTGGCAGTTGCGACAGGGAGCTGGCCGCCGGGGTGAAGCGCCGAACGGCCGGCAGGGCAAGCGCCCCGCCGGGGCCCGACTCGGCCGGCGGCGGCGACAGCTGCACCTCGTCCATGATGCGGGCCCGGTGAAGCAGCGGCCCGGGCCGGGCCCCGGCGCAGGCGCATGTCCCGGCCCCCGGGGCATGGCGCGTGTCGGCCGGCACACCGATGAGCCCCGGCACGCCGGCCATGCCGGCAATGCGCTCATTCAGCACCGACTGGCTGGGGAAGGGGAGCTCGAGGGCGGCCCCGCGGGTCGCCGGGCAGTGGGGATCCGCACAGGCGGCATCCGCGGCCCCGGTGGCCGGGCCCCCGGCGCCGGACCCCACGAAGAGGCATTGCGCCCGGGCCGAATGCCCCGGGCCAAGGGGCATCCCCGGCAGCGCGACGCCCAGCTCGCCGACCAGCCAGCGGCCCAGCGGCCCATCCACCGGGCCGCCATGCCCCCGGGGCCCGGGGTCACGAAGGGCCCGGTCCAGCCCGGGCGGCAGGTGGCCCCCCAGCAGGACCACCGTCCGGACGTCGGCCGTCAGCCACTCGGCCGCCAGGTGCCCATGGCTGGCCAGCGTGCGGAAGCCCTGCCGCTGGAGGGTGGCCTCGTCCAGGGGGACCGGCTCGGCCGAGGGCACCGCCCGGCGCCGCTGCCCGGCCAGCCAGCACCGGAGGGCCGCGCCGGCCGCGTCGCCCGTGGCCCGGTCCGGCGTGTCGAGCACCAGCATGGCCCCCCCGCGCCGGGGCTGGCCGATGCACTGCCCCGGGCTGACCGTGGCCCCATTGTCCAGGGTGATGGTTTCGCCGCGCTGCAGCCGGCCAAAAAGCGGCCCCTTCGGGACCCCGAGGCTTGCGGCCGCCAGCGGGTCGAACTTGCCCGGCACGTCGGGCATGCGGATCAGGAAGCCGTGCGTCGCCGCGCCCGAGGGGAACACCTCCGGGCAGGTC